ATAGTCATCAACCTAACCTCACTCAACTATGAATTATAGTCATAGTCAATAGTCATGGTCATAGTTTTAGTCATTAAAATTTTTTTTTATTGTTGCTACTAGCATTGCAAGCCATTGGCCATTGGCTTCGTCTACTAAGTAGACGAAGTCTAGCTGGTAAAGGTTCTTTGAAATCTATGTTTTCTTTTCTTTTTGTTTAATATTTGTAAGTTTTAATGCGTTTCGGTCTAGCCTTGGCCTCATCAGGTAGAGGGCTTTACTCTACTACGCATTGCGGGTTTTTTTTTGAGTTTTTTGGGAGTTTTCCTTCTCCATACGATGAGTTTTCCAAATATTTCAAAGTATTTGTTTATATACAATATTTCTTGTGTAGACTTTATCCAATCCATTTATTAATTTGCCATGTTGTGGGCTATCTATAATTTCGACTCTGACATTACATGATTTTTTAGCCCTTGAAAATGCAACATAGAGTTGCCCGTGACCAAATATTGGTTCGGGCAACAGGATCCCTACCTTTTCCATGGTTTGACCCTGTGCTTTGTTTATAGTCATGGCGAAGGCAGGTTTAATAGGAAATTGCCTTCTCCTTAAACGAAATGGGATATCTGATGATCGCGTACTATCAAGAATGATCCGTGGAATCAATTCTTTGTTTCCCTTTCCACTTCCTGTAAGAATTTCTGCGAAAATTATATTTCGCCTCAAACCCGTTATCAAAAGACGTGTGCCATTGCACAGGCCCCTCTTAGTGTCCAAGTTTCTCAGGAGAATCACTATGCTATTCACCTTGAGTTTTAGGGCATGTGGTGGCATGCCAGATGGATTTAGTGTGTTTAAGAATTCAACAGGAAAATTCGCCGCGTCTGTTGGATCATCGCAATTTGCCTCATCTGTGCTATAATAAGTGGTTGGCTCACCATTTAATTTAGAAATAATTTCTGCATTTACCATGTCCACAGTTTTATTTTTTGGAGTAAGAATAGCTCTATTAGCTAAGTTTCTGATATCTTGGTTGTGGAAATTTGTGCCAAAGATTTCATCTATCAAATTTTTGTTGGCAAGAAATTCCTTTGGGATCTCAATCATGTCCGAATTGAGCCCGACATCATTGGTTAGAGTTCCATTGCCTAACTTCAAAAGCCATTGACTGAATTCTTCATCCTCAGATCTTAAGTTGTTGATCAGAGAGTATTTTTTGATTAACGGCCAAGCTTTACAGTATTTGATAGAATTTTGTACTATTTCTGCTGGTTTCGCATGTGGAATTACTACCAAACATTGTCGAAAATCTCCTCCGAAAAGGATTGGTTTTCCGCCAAAAGGCACTTTCTTCAGTCGTGAATCTATGGTAGACATTAGTTCTTTCAGAAGATTATCAATTGTGTTAACGGCATTTGATGAAGCCATAGTACTTTCATCAATAAGTAACAATTTTGCGGTTATAATTTCTTTACCTGCATCAGATTTTGCTGTAATTCTTGATACTGAGCTCTCATTTAACTCAATTGGAAGTCCGTATTGCGAGTGCATAGTTTTTCCCCCGATTAGCAAATTTGCCGCAACTCCTGTTGTTGCAACAGGGAGTACAACTCCACCATTTCCACGAATGACATGCATCAACGTATTATACAAATAAGTTTTTCCTGTTCCGCCTGGTCCATCTAAGAAGAAACACTTTTCGGAAATGCTGTTGTCATTGACAGCTTTCATTATAGCATCAAATGCCTCCCGCTGTTGGTCATTTAATGTCGATTGCATTTGCCTCCCTATATCCGTTTCTTGTTGAAGATCGTATTCTGTTTCATTTGACCCAAAATCTGTTGATGGGAATGGTAATTTAATATGTGACCATGGTTTTCCATGGGTTAAAAAGACATTTTGTACATCCTTTAGAGCATATTGCTCACAGTATAGACATTCTTCTGTCTCAGGATGACGTTTGTGACAAATGTCTTCCATGAATTCTTTGCTAAACTTGTTCCATAGTTTTTCTGGCTCAGTTGGAGAGCAGAATAGGCATATATAAGCAAATAGCTGTCTCAAGTGAAACGGCATTTGGAAAACGATTGCATCTTCCAGAGTCATTTCCCAGATTCTGTCGTCGATCAAATAACCGCGTAATCTTGCGGATTCTCTGAATGTTTCACATTGAATGCCATCTACGGTCAGCAAATCTGAAAACTTTGTGGCTCCTTTCACATGGAGTAGCAGAATTCTTAGATAATACCGTTCTGAATCACTTATCGATACATTATACATTCTTCCAATTGTGTTATGTGTGTTCCGCACTCTTTTTACCCACTGGTATGGCAGTTTTTTATTATTGGCGTCCAATTTATTCTTGTCAAACCAATATTTATCGGGTATTTCCCAATAATGGAGAGTCCTTGCTTCAGGGTCACTCTCGTTTAGATTAAACCACGCTTGTAGTGTGGATACTTTTCTGTCTGCATTTTCCAGCGCAGCAACTGGGTCCCTTTGAACGGTTTCTGGATCAAAATATACGGAGTTTTGGTTTTCTAAATGCACATCCAACCTTAGCACAGAGTGTGACTGTCGGTGCATCGGAAAGCCGAACAGTCTCCACACGGCTTCTGGTGCACTTACATAACGTCCATCAACGAAATCTAAAATTTCGTCTCTTTGGCTAACATTTACTTGAGCCGCATCGTGACCTTTATAGACATATTTGAAAAGATATTTCACACTTTTAATTGAAGCGCATACTTCAACATTAATGTGACAGTTGTATTTCAACAACAAATAAGGATTATGAGGAACTATCCATTGATTATTTATCATCTTCCCGTTCACGTCGGCATTCGACCCTTCTTGACGACGATAAAGAGGATAGCCATTTACGTTGCCAATGGTTGTTTCTTGGAACTGTTTTGGAAATTTCTTTGTACATTTGTTATTTTCCATACATGGACTTCTGTTATTTTCAATACCACACGGTCCGTGGACCATATGTTTCAGCACTCTCTCGCGAAGAATAGGATATTCAACAGATGGAATTTCTGCACTGACAAACTTGTCTATATCAAATTCACTTGTTAATTTAGACTCAGGTGCGACTGTAAGTAATATGTGTGCATGAGGCAAGCCTCTCTTTTGAAATTCAATCACGTGTATAATCGATTCCAATTTTCCAAACAGACCCTCTTCAAGATCTTTCAAAAGAGCGTTCTTTTTGAGATTAAATATTCGCGATACAATATCTGGTCTATCTTCAGGCCTTTCCCACGACTCAATATTATTAACAATTTCCGGCCACTTTGGATTACAGGTCATTGTTACGAAAAAATCGGGTTTCCCGAATTTTGTGACTATTGCCATTGCATCTTGGTACCGTTGCTGATAATTCCGAGGACTCCCTTCAAAAGTTGATGGAAGTAAAACAGATTTTCCAGGTTGCCCATTGGCTTCATCGACATCGCCATGAATATGGTCAACGAATCCACTGTATTGGTCAACTCTTAGTTTAGGCTGGTTCGTTCGTAAATAATTGAGTCTATTTGCTTCCATTTTCACATAGGAATCTACAATGTATTGCTGGGTGAGCTTACCGGCATGCAAAATAGGATTAAATTCTGCACGAACGGACAATCGATGTTTATAATATTCCATTTGGGACATTCGAGTCCTTCTATTCCCACCTTGTCTTTGAAGATCTACCCCCCATCCTTGTTCGCCTGATGGAAATAATAATGGGTATGTGAGTGCATCTAAATTCGGATCCAGTATTGTAATCCGTTTGAGCTTGCTTGCATTCGGATAATGTGGATTGTACCTGGGATGAATTAAAATATCCCTATTGAATGGCGGTTCTCCATCAGAATTGTTAAACACAATTGCAACTTCTGATACCCTTGGTTCATTATATCTTCGCGGGTCAGCCTGTCTATCATTTTTGATTGCCATTATTATAGTATCATCAAAACCACTTTCTTCTACTATTTCATGTAGCATCCTGTAAGATTTCACAAACTCGTTAACTTCTTGCATGATCACTGCTATGCGGCGCATCAAGTCAGGATCGCATCCAGCATTGGCTGGATGATTCAACCTTTCTTCGGTTGCTTCTGCCGGATCCAGAACGTACAATTGAGCGTATTGTCTTTCTTCTCCTTCTTCAGGGTAAAGTGTACCTGTCCTATGATAAATTTGTCCCTGAATTCGAAAGCAGAATGGTCCCCCAGGTGGAAGTTTAGCAAAGTTTGCGCCCATTGATGCAAATGCAAAGGAGTTGTTGATGGACCGTATATTGATTCTAAAATTTTTGGACATTGGATCTTGCATCGTTAGAAGATTTCGTAAACTCTCTGGATAGGCAGGTAATGGTGGTGGATTTACTTTTCCTTTTGCGCAGCACCGAGTACCGATATTGCCTTTCATTTCTTCTTTAAAATTAACAGATTGACATGACTGGCAAACATATATCATGTTTCCGCAATCATGTTCTAAGACGTTGTTTTCATTTCTAATGAACGATTCAATTTCATTTGTTAAGGATGACCGGTTGCGTTCTACACGTAAAGAATAATTTAGACGATTTTGATGTGAACGTTCTTCTTCATTAAGATTTGCAATTCTTTCCTGTTCGCGAGCAGCGCGAACGGATCGTCGTTCATTTGATTGTTCTTCAT